TGTGTGTGTGTGTGTGTGTGTGTGTGTGTGTTGCGATTACCTGACAGAGCCTCCCTCCTCCTTCACCCATGCTCGTCGCCCTCCTCCCTCCTCCTCCATCTGTGTCTATCGCCCTCCTGCCTCCTCTATTTGTGCTCGTTCCCCCTCCTCCCTCCTCCATCCATGGTGGTCACGCCTATGCCTCCTCCAGCCTCCATTCTCTATTCTCATCTCTCATTGTCATTGTCCTTGTCCTCCCTACTCCTCTTCTCTCCTCCTTCTCCCCCGTCCTCCTCCCCCCTCCACCTTTGCTCCTCGCCATGCGTCCTCCGCCTGCATCATCGACCTCCTCACTATCACCGTCGCTGTCGTTCTCCTGTTGTCGCCTGTGCACACATGTGTGCACAACTTCACCAAAAAGTATTAAAAAAAAAAGCAGGGTAAGCCAGACTTTCGTCGTGTGTGTGTGTGTGTGTGTGTTTGTGTGTGTGTGTGTGTTGCGCTTACCTTAAGGAGCCTCCCTCCTCATCAATCCATGCTTGCCCCCCTCCTCCCTCCTTCCCCATCCATGCACTTCGCCCTGCTGCCTCCTCCTTCCTCCATGCTCGTCGGGCTCCTCCCTCCTCCTCCAGCCTAGATCCGCTCTCCGCGTCCCTCATTGTCATCGTCCTTGTCCTCCCTGATCCTCTTCCCTCGTCCTCATCCCTCAACCTTTGCTCCTCGCGGTGCCTCCTCCTCCTCCATGGTTGACCTCCTCACCATCACCGTTGCCGTTGTTCACGCGTTGTCGCCCCTGTGCTCCTCCATGATGGACCTCCTCACGATCAGCATCGCCGTTGTTCTCACGTTTACACGTGTGTGCACAACTTGAACAAAAAGTGTAAACTGTGCCAGACTGTTTCATCATTGTGTGTGTGTGTGTGCCATTCTCTATCCTCGTCTGGCAAGGAGAGGTTGAACACGCACGAAGAGTCTAAGCCGCTGTTGATGTTTGATGAGCTCGTGCGATGTGACCTCATGCGTGTCTGACGTGAGTGGTCAAGGTGTTAGCTGCTCTCTCTCTCTCTCTCTCTCTCTCTCTCTCTCTCTCTCTCTCTCTCTCTCTCTCTCTCTCTCTCTCCCCCCCTTGTGGCCTCCTGTCGTCGCCACCGCGTGGTGGCAGAAATCAGAAAAAAGGCCTTGCTCTACTCGCCAAATGTGCAAAGTGAGAATGAATCATTCAGTAGAACATGGGAAGAAACACCACCATATTTTCAGTTCGCAGCCAGGATGGCTGCGTCTATGCCGGTTGTCGTTTGTCGTTTTGAAGAGCACACTTTTTTGGGAAATGTCATGTGGTACAGCGGGCGGGAAATGGGGTGTTTTGGGGGTTGGGGAAGGGTGCGGTCGGCATCGGGAGTAAGACAAGTAGGGGAGCGGTCATTGTACAGCTTGGAGCGTGGGCAACTGGCGGCCGGGTGTTGAGGTCGTTGTTCGGTGTCGCTGGACGGCGACGGGGACTTTCGGTTTCAGGGAATATTTATTTTTTTCTGGTTTGTTGTTTTGTTCTTTGGTGGTTTTGGGGGTGATGTTGGGGTACATGGGTGGGTGGGTGGGCCTGAATTTGGGGGTGGGTTGGTCTTCGTGCGGGGTATTCGGACGAATCTTGTTATGATTTTTTGTCCAGGCGCATTGTGGGCATGTCGTTTTGTCTTGTGGGGGCGATGTGTGGGATCTGCCTTTTGTTTTTTGTTTTTTTTTTGGGAAAGTTCAGATGGGATGTGATGGGTGGTGCATGTGTGCGTTGTTTGTTTTTGTGGTGGGTGGCGTGTTGATGTATCTGGCCAATGGCCATAGACGTGTCGTTGGGAGGATGATCGTGAGGTACGGCTGTGTAGACGTTCGGGTGCGGGAAGGTGAGGGGACATTGGTGGTGTCAGGGGTGCTGAGCGGACGTTGGTGGTGTCAAGGGTGCCTTCATTGATGTATCTGGCGGTAGATATGTATAATGGACGATGGATATGGGTTTGTGTCTGCCTTTTTTTTTTTTTTTTTTTTTTTTTTTAATCTGCCTGTTTTTGATGGGACAATTTGGACAAACCATTTCTTTCGGCATCCTTGGGTCGTTGGATCGACGGCTGTGACAATTTTTTTTTTTTTTTTTGTCTTTGGGCGTATACGCACTGTGGACCTGGCCTGCTTGCCAAACCTGCAAAATCTGCCGTCCTCCCCCGACAAGTTGTCCTGGCTGCGTCCCTGCACATAGTGCGGTCCTCAGTCTTTTGAAATGCCTGTGGTGAGTAGCGAAGTGAGGCCTAAAGATCCAACCCGCTATGTACTTGTATTCAAACATTTGCGAGTGGTGGGACCTGACAGACAACGAACCAACATGGCTGGCAGCACCCAAAAAAAAGGCTGCCACCCTCAAGAACGTTCGCAAAACAACATGGCAAACAGCATAAGGGGGGAAAGGGGGGAGAAGCGGGGGGGGCGGGGGGGGGGGAGACCTGCCCACGGCTGACACCTTGAGACCTTGCGTGAAACGGTCGGTTCCCTCAGGTTGTTTCTCTTGGGCCCACTAAAAGCGTCACGTGAGAACCGCTTTTCACTTTAGGAGGTATAGGGATAGTAACAATAATAATAATAACAATTATAGGAATAGGAATAACAAGAAGAACAATAGATTATGATAATGATCAACTATAATAGGATGAATTTAGGTTTAGGCAATAATTTTCGTTGATTTTCCGTAGTAGGGGCTGTAGAGTTGCTGTGGAATTGACTATGGGTTGAAATCTCGTGGTGCCCTCGATGTGCTTGGCCGGTGATGCCTTACCCACTGAGGGCCCCACGTAATTTTGTAAGGGACGCCTGGCCCGGTTCCCGGCTTATAAAATAAATTATTCTCAAAAAAAAAAAAAAATCTTCTCAAAAAAAAAAGAAAAAAGAAAAAA